ATATATATACAAAGCTTTTTTAATACAAACTGCAGCTCGATGATGCTCAGAAGAGGTGAGACTGTAACCGGTAAAAGATTCGCAACTCCATGAACAGTTATCAAGCGGTTGAACATATAAAATGAATTTACCCATAATCCTTTATAGCTTTTCAGATGACTAACTTTATTGAAATAAGTGTATGTAACAAAAAAAAAAAAGCAAAGTTGTCTAATAAAGTACCCTAAATATGCATACTTCTAGCTGAGCATTGAAGATCTGTTTTAGCCAATCACAGCGTGTCTAGCTGTTTTACCCCTTGCCCTCATTCCCAGGCTACTGTAACCCAATTTTTGCATATTTTTCTGTTTTTGTTTGACTAAAATATAATAATTATATGTGGCAGCAAGAAGCAAAAATATAGCAGAAAAACGTATATATTTTACAACCACCACTCCCCATGGGGGGCTCTTCCGTGAGGTTCCCTCCACACACACTACCACTACATTCTATATTTACAACATACAACGCTCAACTCACATGTTGCTTGTTACAGAGAAAAGCATTAGAATAAAATATACTTATTTTGATTTAAATGTTTCTTGAGTGTCTTGAGTATGGTACAGTGTATATAAATCCCATATTTACATGATCAGTTTGAATGCTTTTGCATACATTTTACACAAGTTTTTTTTGCTTTGAGCAATTGAAGTTGATCCTTAAATCCATTCCTTCGTACTCCTCTTTATAAAAATGATAATATTAATAATGGGATTAACAGTGGATTCCACAGAGTGGCTCTTCTTCCACTGGATTCCAATTGGAATTTAGAATTTGATTTTTGTGGAGGGAGGAAAGCCGGAGAACCCAGAAAACCCTGAAAGCACAGGAGAGAACCAACAAGCAACTCTACTCACATACAACGCCAAGACTCAGCGGGACTTGTACACGGGTTGCATTGGTGAGAGGCAAGCGCTCTCACCAAAATTATTATTTATATTTATTATTTGTTTTATAATACTTTTGTAAAAAGCATTGAGAGTGTATGATTATGCTTTCTTTAGAAAAATATATGAAAATGATTTAAGACAAAGAAGGGACTAATAATTATTCTTGACTTTCTATAGGATATTTTATCCCACCAATTGATGGATTTAGTCACTAGATACAAACCTGAGTATGTTTGGTCAGATGGAGATCAAGGTGCATCAGCTGATTACTGGACCAGTAAGGAATTTATTGCTTGGCTCTACAATGACAGGTAATAGATTTTTTCTGCAGATATTTTCTTATAATATTTTCTAAAGTGTGTATCAAGGAAAATATTTCATTTTCAAAATCACTTATATGTGGACAGTGTAGTAGTATGGTTGCAGTATTTTTGTATGTGGACCTCTCTTTTCAGAGATATCAACATTTGAAATATCAATATGCAAATGAGATGACGTAAATTCCAGAATGGGTTACATTTTGCAGTGTAATTTACGACAAGTGTTCTGAAGTGAAATAACCTAAAAGTGTAAACAACCATATATTTCAGTTATAAGGATAATTTGCAAATAAAAAAAACAGTACTTTGAACAACAAGCATTTTTGTATAATAAATTAGTCTTGAACTTATGTCATGTCATTTGCATATTGATATTTCAAATGTTTATATCTTCTAAAAGAAAATTTTACATACAAAAATACTGCAACCATACTACTACACTATTCACATATAAGTGGTTTTGAAGGAAAAAAAATTTCCTTGACATACACTTTAACTGAGGGAATGGTTATGTGATTTGTTTTGCATGTATTATAAATTCATTTTCATTTTTGTCCAGTCCTGTTAAAGAAACTGTCATAGTTAATGACCGCTGGGGATCAGGGGTGGCTTGTCACCATGGAGATGTGTACACTTGCTATGATCAATATAATCCAGGTAAGGTATTGCCTCCATCATTGCCTTGTATCTGCCATTCGTGCTAGCTAGTCCAGATCCTTTTAGGCCATCCCAATTATGGCTGTTTACTGATCACTTATGGGAGATGACTTATGAGTAGCATAGGTGGTCTATGTAGGTGTCGTCCTCCTATCAATTCAAGGCTTTGGTGCATAGGGTCAATGGTCAATGATTTGATCCCCACATGTGGAGCACAGTGTGAGCTGAGATTTTTTGATATGTAAATTGTTCTCTCGATGCTGACGGTTTTTTCCTGTATCCTCCAATTCCATCCCTTCGTAAAAATCAAAAATTCTAAATTCTAATTTGATCTCAAAATAAGAGGGTCGTATGTAAAGCTTTTCATTGGCCAAACTAAAAAACTGGAAAGAATGGTTAGCTCAAGTAGGTAGCAGTAGGAATACAATAGTAGATGTGGAGAAGACAATAATAAAAAAAAAACAACTTATTTTTAAAATTTTACAGAAGAAATAGGAAACTGCTGTGGCTGTGTGCAGTTATAAAGCATGAAGGGATTGGCAGAACACGGAGAAGTGTTAGGAGAAGCATGACGCGTATTGGAATGCTTCTCGACACTTATTGAGTGTTCTGCCAATCCCCAAGTGCTTTATAACTCCACAGAGCACAGCAAGCAAGTTTTTTATTTCTTTTATTAAATGCAAAGGGCGCAGCATGCTGTGTGCTCTCATAAAGCACACGCTCCCAACCAATGAGAATACAAGATTTAAGACAGTTATTTTATAATTTAGTATATAGGCTTGAATTTGGGTATCAATGTGCTATGGATATATAATGTTTACATTGAAGCAATTATCATCCTATTAAGGAGAGTAAGGGACAGAAAAGGAGGTTATCAGTGGAGTGGGGTACAAGAGGAAATAAAATTTTTGCCACTCATAATCACCTTTGGGGCTTGAATTACAGAAGGTTGCTGATGTGACCTTAGGATTCTGCACAGATTTAATTTTAAAATTAAAATTAAATTCTCAGTTATGCAAATAGAAGTGACTTTCACACCCTTCCTTTGTAATAGTCATATAAGCACAAGGTTGATTAAAGGCTCTAATCCTCCATGTCTATAAATTTGTTTTCAGGGAAAAAACAGAATCATAAATGGGAAAATTGCTTTAAGGTTGACAAAAAGTCTTGGGGATTTCGGCGAGACATTGATGCAGCTGACATCAATTCTATTGAGGAACTGGTCTCACAACTGGTATCCACAGTCAGGTAAAGTATCTTTGACTGCATTCTTTCATAAAAATAAACATGATTATCATGTGCTCTCAAACTTAAATTAAAGTTTTGCAAAAAGGCACTTGTTTGAGCACAGGTAGCCCAAGCTCTGTTTTGTGGCGGTTTTACTAAGAGTTAGCTGAGAGAAGGCCATCATGGGCTAAAAAAAGCTCCAATTTGGTTGGAAATTAGCACAGATCTAGTCTCCCCCACAGCCGCTTTCAGTGTTGTCACGCATTGCTTTCTCCCCTGAGTAGCATTGCGTGATGACACTGAAAGCAGCTGTGGGGGAGACTAGCACAGACCAGGATAAAAAACAGCTCAAGACAACAAGAAAAGTTAGTAGCATTTATTTCATTTTTTCAAAATTAATCCACATTACAAACTCTTAGTAAAACTGCCACAAAAGCAGAGCTTGAGCTATCTGTGATGTGGGCTGGACTGGTTTACATGGTGGGGTGAAAAAACCTGTCTGGCCCTCCTTGGTTAACACATGCTGTATTAATAAATTTTTGCAGGATTTTTCAGCCTTTTTTATGACAAACATTGGGTAACATGATAAATCCAGTGCTTATTTGAYTGAGCTAGGTCTCAATGTTCTTGACTCTTTTTGGACTTAAGCATAACAGAGAATGTTGCATGCTTTTTAAAGCAAATTGACCTCTGCATGCCAATCCAGTTATTAAATTTTACAGAACACATGCTGTCATAGCTAGAATATCTAAAACAAAAAAAAAACAAAAAA